TAGATAGATAGATAGATAGATAGATAGATAGATAGATAGATAGATAGATAGACAGATGGATAGAATAAAATTATATTTTCATATATATGAAGGAAAATAGACATACAGGGTGATAAATAAGAATAAGCCTTCTGGGTGCCCATTTTTACTGTATCAATATATGTGTTACTCTCAAACAGAACATTCCATTTAGAAATTGTCCTTGTACATTGACTTTTTTTTATTTTAATTTATTTTGTTTGTTTTTGAGACAGAGTCTCACTCTGTGGCTTTTTTATTTTGTTTGTTTTTGAGACAGAGTCTCACTCTGTGGCTTTGGCTTGCCTTGATCTTGTAATAATTCTCCCACTTCAGGCTACTAAGCCATGCACTAATTGAAAAGTACAGTTAAAAGATCAAATGCTCTTATTGCTTTCTTGGTAAATAAATTAGACAGTGATTTGGATTTCCAGTTCCAAGAGTGCATTTAGGCAAGAGCTAGTGAAATGGTTCAGTGGGTAAAGACCCTTGCCTTGAGTTCAATCCCCAGACCCCATGGAAAAGGAGAAAAAAGCACCAGCTGCACAAAGTTGTCTCCTCTGATAACGCTATGTGTGCTGTAGCCCATGCAAGCCCTGATACATACATTGTCCACACACCAACACAACAATAATAAAATAAAAATTTAGATAAGCATTTTCAAGTCAGGCTTGAAGGTACAGGCATGTAATCACACCTACTTCAGAGGCGGAGGCAAGAGGGCTACATGCTCAAGGACAACTTGGGCCACAGACTGAGCCACGTTGGGTTAATTTAGCAAGCCTCTTTCTAGTTAAGGAATAAGGTCAATTATACTTCTGTACACTAGGAACAAACGACAAAAACTAAATGTTTATTTGTGACAGGATGTCACCATGTATCCCAGGTTGGCCATGATCTCGGGATCCTCCTACCTCAGCCTCCTGAGATCAGGCATGTGCCACCACACCTAGCTGTACTGCCTTTTATTTATTTGTATTGCCTGACGCCACCTTCACTCTGGTATTAAATGGGGTGATTGTAGCCAGCCCCTTCATCTTATGGAGAAAATTGTCAACACGTTACTATTAAGAACAATGGTGGGAAGCCAGACACGGTGGCGCAAGCCTGTAATCCCAGCACGTGGGGAGGCAGAGGCAGGCAGAGTTCTCTGTGAGTTCGAGGCTAGGTACCACTTGAATGTCTGGCACTTTCAGAAGCCAAAAGGAGAATGCCAGAGCCCCTGGGACCAGTATTACACACAGTTGTGAGCTACCTTATGGGTTCTGGGAATTGAACTTGGGTCCTCTAGATGAGCAGCAAGTGCTCTTAACTGCTGATCCATCTCTCCATTCCTCCATGATGTGTATTCTTTTTACATGTCCCTAGTTTTTATATTCTTGTCTTGTTTGGGACTTTTACATTTAAGTTTTTGAGTAAAAATAATCTTACTTTTCTCATTTTTTATTAATAAAATTTGTTCTTCAACAATTTCATACATGTATATAATGCATTCTGGTTACTCTCCATCCTATCACCTCTTATTTCCCTTGCACCCCTGCCAACCCTCCACCCATCCTTAAAAAATCTCTTTCCTATGTTTACTAGTTTTTGTTTTGCTTAATATCCCACTGAGTTCAACTAGTGTCATCATCTGTGTGATTCTGAGCTTAGCAGTTCATATATACATAGACAAACATATATACATATAACAATCATGATTTCATGTATATATATGAATTTCATGTATATATATGACTATATATACATGATTTCATATATATATATGTATATATAACAATCATGAAATCATGATTGTTATGGTCATGTTATAAAAATAGCATTTTTCAGCCCTTCTGAGTATCTTCCATCTCTTACGTCTTTCTCCCTCCTCTTCCAAAGGGCCCCTGAGAGTTAAAGGGATGGTGTACATGTCTTATTTAGGGCTAGGTCATCCTTTATTCTCATATCTTGTGCAAGGTCTTCATGTTCACCTCTGTTCACTGTCATGAGTGGCTTCTTTGTTTAAAGCTCAGAATAGCCTTTGTTTGTGGGTATAAGCATAAATGTTTAGAAGGTGGTTTAATAGTATAATTATTTATCTAAGCAGCGGTATTAGGTTTTCCCACTATGGCCATGAGCTCTACAGTCATGTGTTTTGGACTAGTTTTACAGCAGTGAGTAGAGGTTCCCTCTTTTAGAGACAGCCTGAAATCTAACTGGGAAGTGGTTGGTTACGCCCGCCCCATGACAGTCATGCCACTATTGCACCAATGGGTACATCTTGCCAGGCAGGTTAGTATCACAGTTCCTAGGGCTCACAGCTGGGTAAAACTGATGGTGCCTCCTACCCTAGCAGCCTTTATAGCACTTCCCAGCACTTGAGAGGTAGCCAGCAGGGAGGAAACTTCTAGTTCAATACCAATTTGATTTCCTTGTAGCTTTGATTATAGGTGTGTGGTGCCTTCAGCAATAAAATCTTATCAACTATTTATAATGGAGAAACCAAGAAAAATAACAAGAACCATTATTATTCTGAGAGCCTCCCTGACCAGCAACTCCTATGCAAGTATCCCACACTGTGAGAAACCTTACAATATGGTGCGAAAAATAGACATAGAAACAAGTTACAATATAAAATAATAAGCACAAATAAAACTAATGAGGGCAAATAGCTTCTACAGAGCTTGACTTGCAGTGATGCTTCTGTATAATCCCCTGCACTTGGGAGGTGGAAGCAGAAGTATCAGGAGGTGAAAATCATGCTCAGCTAAATAACGAAGATCATACTCAGCCTAAGAAACATGAGACCTTGTTAAAAAACAAAACAAAACAAAACAAAAAAAACCCTGAAGTTTGGCTTTTGTTTAACTCCTTTATTCTTTGTTAGTTCCACTTAGCATCTTTAAGCATTTTCATAAATACTCTAAAGCCAAACATACAGCTCCCTTGGGTGCTATTAATATGGTATGACCTTGACGAGTTTGCTTTAATACCCAAACTGAATCCTTTTTGGACTTTATCCCCTCAATTTATATTCTTTGCTGCAAGTACCTAATTCAGTTTTATGAAAGCCAGTCATTTCTGTTCTGTTTTCTTAGGTTTTGAAAATATCCATTATTCAAGTGGTGGCTGCAGTTGCATGCTGGCTTGTCTGTCATGCATCGAAAAAGAACTACAAGTAGAGGGACCTCCTGTACCACGAAGATTAGTCAGCAACCTCCGAGACTTCTCCTTGTGCATGCTGCTGCACCTTCCTGGGCTGACATCCGCCCCAACCTCTGTGAGGCCTTGCAAAATTTTTTCTCCATAGCCTGCAGTTTGATGGGCCCCAGCCGTATGTCTCTGTTCAGCTTATATGCTGTACAAAACCAACATGAGTGTATCCTCCCATTTGTGGTAAGTCTATCTATAGTCTTGGTATCCTGAAAGCAAATGCAATTTCCACAGCAGAGCTTACAGCTGTTGTTACTTACGGTAAAAAAATAATTGGTTCCTCGTGTCTAATTAGCCCACCTGAGCTAGAAGTCATCCTGTGTATATGGGGGCTTGTGTCACAAGAGAGAAATCTCTGAGTTGTTAATTTGGGGGTTGAAATAGGCGGCACACCATCCCTCTCCACAAGAGAGGAGAAACCCTAGCATTTGCAAAGAAATGCAAAGAACTAGATTCTTTTGTCCTTTCCGAAACATAAATGTTTAAAGAAGTTTCTAAATCTCTTCAGAAGTCTGCTTATTCAACCATTCCCTTTCTTCCAACCTTGTCCTGCGATAAAACTCAAGGCCTAATTTTCTTTGCTCAGAAAATTCTAATTGCAAAAAAGACATGAAACTATTTTTCCTGTATTCCACTCCAGTGACATTTTAATTCCCTCTAGATAAAACACCAGGTAAAGTTTAAGAAGGAGTGACTCAGGCAGAGATCATTATTTTACAAAGCTCCCTCACAATTATCTACTCTCCTCCTCAAAGACAATTCAAGTCTTCCCTTTCGCTTGGATTTAGTTCAAAATCACAAGGATGGGAAAGACATCCAGTGACTCCACACAGCTTCTTTGGGTCAACTTGCTGCTAATTCAATGGGCATATACTGTATCTTTAAGATAACAAAAGGAAGAAATTTCACAGACCTGTTGCTGATTGTGTGGGTAAGATCTAAGTAGAATCCACTCATTTTTAAATTAATGTCTCATTCTCAATTAAAGTGAAAATACAATATATCTTTTGGTACTATAAAGTATGAACATAATACAAATTTGTTCAAGATTGCTTTATATTGCTCTGATAAAACACCATGCCCAAAAACAATTTGGGGCAGGGCAATGGTGGCCCATGCTTTTAATCTCAGCACTCAGGAGGCAGAGGCAGGCTGATCTCTGAGTTCAAGGCTAGCCTAGTCTACAGCATGAGTTCCACAACAGCCAGGGCTACACAGGGAAAACCTGTCTTGAAAAATACAAAAATAGGCCAGATGTGGTGGTGCACAACTGTAATCCCAGCACTCAGGGAGGCAGAAGCAGGCAGATTGCTTTGAGTTCAAGGCCAGCTTGGTCTACAAATCAAGTCCAGAACAGCCACATCTACACAGAGAAACCCTATCTCAAAAACCGAAAAACAATTTGGGGATATCAATGCAAAAACTTCAATTCTCATTTTAAAGGGAATACTTAAGAGATAGTTTATTCTGGAGCCATTTTATGTGACCATGGCAAGGGAACACAGATTTCAGTTACTCCAAATTCCATGTTCCAATGAGGAAGCAGTCTCATGAAGTTTTACAGAACAAAGAAAGTCATCAATCAAGGCAAGTTTAAAATACGCTGGTTGCTACATCAGAGAGGCAGGTCCAGCGAAATGGGGGAAGCTTTACTATAGGCCCAAGATGCCATCTGGTGACGTTCTTAGTCTTTGAGTTGGTGAAAGCTAGTGGTCTACTAAGTTAATATATTCTAAAGGTTTTAATCTATTAGTCATAAGATATTAATTCCGACACAGAGGTGGCCAAGGGATGGTTCTGGAGAGCTATAACTAGCTCCACAATGGTAATTAGCCTTTGCACCTCAACATTCCAATCACTCCACAGTACCGAAATTCTAATCAATCAGTCTCTAAGACATGGCCCCTTCTAAGGATTTCTCATTCACAGAGAGGAAAAGAGACTTCAGATAGACCAAAGTAGCTAGAGAAGAAAGAACTACACATGGGAAAGAAAAGAGAGCTCCCATTTTCCTTTTTGAGGGGATCTTTTTAAGGAGCTACATAAATCACTCAAGTTGCAAGCCAGAAACAGATGGTATACCCAAGCTGAAATTTTTTCAGAGATACAGAAAGAGAATAGTTGCAGAGGTGAAGGCAGAGTTTAGGTAGAGGCAACAAAAGACAGTGCAACAGCCAGGCCACCCAGGACTAAAGAGAGCTACTTCATGGGACCTGTGACCTTTGTTAAGAAAAACATAGTGACTCCTTTTTTTTTTTTTTTTTTGAGACAGGATTTCTCTGTGTAGGCTTGGCTGTCTTGACCTTACTTTGTAGACTAGGCTGGCCTGGAATACACAGAGATCCACCTGCCCCTGCCCCATAGAGTTATGGGATTACAGGATGCGCCACCATGCCTGGCTTCATGACTCTTCTTAAAGCACCACAGAAGATTTTTATTTGGGACCATTGCAGTAGATACAAGGACCCTGAAAATCAGATTTTGCAGTAGGGAAGAGCCTGGGCTCAGCTAAATACAGTATGGGTAAATGGGACTCCCCAGTCTAAATCCCTGGCTAGTGCCTCCCATTGGACACACCTTTTTAGAAGCAGAAGTATTAGGAAACTCACTGAATTGTTCCTTAGAGATTGACCTCTAAAGATACAAAACTAGGAAGAGAAAAGTAGACTGTGATCTGGAAAGGCAAACAAAATCACCCAGTATCAAGGGTTGTGATAATTTTTTCTTCATCTCCCTGCTACTCCCTAGTATAGGTGGCCATCTTTTAATTAATAGATCCCTTAGTCACTCCCTTAGGAAGAGCAGGCAGTTTTATACTTGAAACCATGAGCTTGTCCGGAGCTTAACCAAGCTAGGAAATAGAGCTGATCTGCTAGGTGTCAGAGTAAACCAACAACCAAAGGAAAGGGTTAAGCCTTTAGTCACCTGCTGAAATGGAATAATAAGCGTCCAACCTGAGAAAAGTGTCTACTTCCCCACCACATTCTGTTAGTGCTGCTGCTGATGGTAGGTTTTTATTATTATTTCATTTCCTCTGTTTATTTAAGTCAGTCTCGCTCTGTCAACCAGACTGGCCTGGGGCTCAGGCTGGCCTCAAACTTGTGGCAATTCTCCTGATTCATTCTATTACATGCTGGGATTACAGGTGTGAGTCAGCACTCCCAGCTTTCCCATTTTTTTCTCAGAACGATTGAGAGCTAAATGCATTGACACAGATGAAAGGACAGTCTTACTGTTGAGTGGACCCCAGACAAAAAAAAGCTTTTGTGGTTTTATCAATCTTGAGTTAGAGAAAGCAAAGAGGGAATGCTAGGAGTAGAAAAGACTGACTCAGAATAGAGAAAACTGTGTTTAAGTTTCTCTGTTTCTTCCACAAAGAAGTCTTGGCAGAACCTTGCTATGGGCCTCAAAGACATAGGAATGAAGGTGTCAGAGATGGGGAGCCAAATATTCCAAGAACAGGATGTCCTAGGGCAGCCTGGGTCCTTGGTCATGTTCTTCAGAGACTGCAGTGAATTGGCTGTGCCCCAAAGCCATTTCTCTTCTACCGCCACACCATGAAACCTGCTGTGTAAAGCCTTTTAATTACCTATAGTCAGTCCTGAAAAAAAATCACACTTCTCATGGTAACTCAGAAAAAAAATTACAAGCCAAAACTTTCTTCCTGTTGAACAGGAAAGACAATGCTAGTTAGAAGCTCAAGAATTTTGCAGGAATAATGCTATCATTTGGTGTTTACAGACAGTCCAAAGTAAAAGGAAAGCATGCCTTTAATCCATTTCCACTGAGCTATATAGACATCTGACATTTTCTGTCCACAGAGACACCTCAAAATGTAAATGTAGAAAGATAGCATATGGGGAATTGCTTCTAGGAGGGACCCAAGATTACCCTCACATTTAATTTTTTAGTATCCTCAAGTAATTCTGAACCTCTTATAAGAAATCATGACAGAGATTTCATAATTAAAACATTAGAATTCCTTTTATATCCATTATGACATGACTATAAATAATTCTAACCCAAATGATTAATTTTTCCCTCAAAGGAGGATTCCAGAAGAATGTCCTTACTGTGAAACTCTTCCTAATTCTTTTAAATTTTTTTATTATAAAGAATTTATTGAAAGTATATCTTATCAACAATGAGGGACTGGGGTTCAGAATGTTCAAGTTTAGCTATAATGGTTATTTCCTCACCCTTAGTAGTTGACACTCAAAAGGAAGCACATCAATACAACAAATAATACAGATAAATGTGAGTGCTAAGAAAGGTGATGTGGTGGACTATAATTTAGTGCAATGGAAAGGGAGAATAAGAATAAGACAATGAATTATCATAATTCTGTCATGTGGTGAATTAAATACTGTTAGAGAAATAATTTAAAGAAATCACATAAACATATAGAGTTATGATGATAAAAATCTCCCTAGTTGTGACATGAAAATCATTTAGAAAAAAGGGAAAATAACATACACAATACAGTGATTTTTCTAAGAGCTGTAAAACAGAAAGTGTTGGGGCTGGAGAGATGGCTCACAAGTTAAAAGCATGTACCGTTCGTTCAGAGGACCTGAATTTAATTGCCAGCATCCACTGTAGACAACTCAAAACTGCTCACAACTTCAGTTCAGGGACTCTAATGCCTTTGGCCTCTTTGGATACTTGCACTTACATGTATACAACCACACACACCTATACACATACACACAGAGAATTTAAAAATAACATAAATCTTAAAAAACAACAAGGTATATCATAATGTAACTAAGAACACACATCTCTGACACCAGGAAATGCTAAGCCCATCTACTGAAATTCTTTTTTGAACTGATGGGCTTTTATTACAGGCACAATCTATTCTATTCAGGAGACTCGTCTACAGCAAAGTGATTCGGGTAGGTTAGGGGCCCATGATTTAGCTCAGAGGACAAATGTACTTACCCCAAGACTAACAACCTGAGCTCAATCCCTGGGATTCATATGGTGGAAAGAGAGAACTGACTGCAGCAAGTTGTCCTCTGACCTCCACATGCATGCTCTGATTCTCATGGTCCATAAGTAAATGTGAAAATAAATTAAAACTATAACTAAATAAAAAGGATATAGGTGTGGTAGGTGAATGCAATCCCGTTGCCCAAAAAAGAAGACCATGATCAATCATAAACAAGGTTTGAGAGAAGAAGAATTAGATGAAATCAAGAATGCTGTTTTAACGACAGGCTCAAAACAGGGTGGAGCACAGAATGCTCAAAAAGCCTATGAAAGATAACACACATCCTTCTGTTCAGAATCCCAAGGACAAGGATCATAAAAATGCCCACAATACCTAGATGTTGATTCAAAATACTAAAGAAGTATTAGAAAAGGGATGTGTAAGGAAAAGGGCATTAAGGAAACTAGGCTAGACTAAGGATAGATCAGTGGGTTGGTAAAGGGCTTGTTGCTTAAGCTTGCCAACCTAAGCTTGAGGTCCCAGAACCCACATAAAGCCATGCCTGGTAGCACCTGTCTGTAACCCCATAGCTCCTATGTTAAGATGGGTGGCAGAGACAGGAGAATCCCTGCAACTCACAGGCCCCATACAGCACAACACTAAATAACAAAGAGACCCTGACTCAAAACAAGGAGGAAGGCAAGGAACAGACCCTGGGTTTTCCTTGACTTTCGTAAACCCACCATGAAATGTGCCCACTTGTGCATGTTTATATGTACTCACACCCGTACTTACATACATACATACACACACACACACATATGCACTCACATACATACACACAAATAAATAAATCTTACAAATAAATAAATCTTATAAATAAATTTATAGTCTGATTTCATTAATAGATTTTTTTATATCCTTATCTGGATTGCTCATTTCTTTGTGTCAGAATTATGTCCAATTTCTTGTGCGACCCTCCTCCTCCAAGACTTGGAGAGAGGAACACAAAAGCAAAGCAAGAAATGTGAAACAACTTGACCTACACGATCTTCTACCCTGGAAGCATTATAGCTCATACTCATGGATTCTATAAGCATTGCAAATATCTGCTTTGGGGTCGTGTCTGAGTCACTATTCTATTCCTATGAAGTGAGTGACACTGTGACAATGGTGACACCTAAAAGAGAAAACATTCACTTGGGGGCTTGCTTGCAGTTTCAGAGGCTTGGTTCATTAAAAACATGGCAGAGAGCATGTTGTAGGAATGGCAGAGCTTGAGCTGGAGATGTAGTTTAAAACTACATCCTGATTCACAAGCAGAGAGAGCAAGACTGGGTCTGGCATGAAACCTCAAAAGCCCACACCCAGTGCAGTGCCATACTTCCTCCAAAAAAGACCACACCTCTTAATCCTTCTAATCCTATCAAACAGTTGCACTCCCTGGTGAAGAAACATTCAAATATATAAGCCTCTGAGGCCACCACAAGTAGGAAGCCTTTTTTATTCCAAAGCAGGGTTCTTTCCCCTTTCTTATATCAATGTACAGAATTCCTTCAAATAATGTATCAAATCTTAGAAGTATCCTTGAACTAGAATCATATTGACTTATATTGCTTTCTAAGAACTAGTCTTTATAAAAGAAGATGAGGAGAACCAACCATGAGGTCACTTCACTTGCCTGGGAGTCACTTGTTGGTTCCTTAAATTAAGCCAAGATTCTCTTTTTCACTGAAATGCCCTTGTGGCATGGGTTCAGTAGAATCTTATCAATCGTGAAATAAGAGACCACATCAGAATTATTGTTTTTGGGGAGACAGTTTTGTTGTTGTTATTTTGAGACACAGTCTCAATATGTAGCTCCAAATAACCTTGAACTCTTAATATAGCCCACACTAGCCTTGAATTCTCAGTCCTCCAGCCTCAGCCTTCTGAGTGTTACAGTGTCAAGCCAGCAAAGCATCATTCTTAAATAGAGACCCTCTTAGTGACAGCCTGAGAAATAATATCTAAAGTTAACCCTCTTAGACTTTCAATCTGTGGACCACCCAAAGTAAAACTAAGTAGTCCTGGGCTGGAGACATGGCTAACCAGTTACGAACACTTGTTGGTCTTCCAGAGACCCGGATTTGGCTCCCAGTACCCACATGGTGGCTCACAGCTTCAGATCCAGAAGATCTGGCGTCCTCTTATAGCCTTTCATGGCACCAGGCCTACACACGGTGCACATACATACATGCAAGCAGAACACCCATGCACCTAAAATAAAAATAAATCTAAACAAACACACACATCACACAGACACAAAATAGTTACAACTAGACCTTTCATTGGAATTGAAACATTTCCTTTCCTGTTTCTGATAAATCCACGAAATCTAAGATTTTGGGCTACAAATTTTCCTTCTTCTGGTTTAGGGAAAATTTTAGTGCAAAACTTAGAACATGATTGTCAAGAGTTTAAGTTAGCCTGGGTATAGTTAGCCTGAGTATAACTCCATTTTAAAGTAAAAAGCCATCTTGACTGGGAGCTAAATTCAGGTATGAGGAAATATCACAGAATGTACACCTGGCAGAGAGCAAAGTTAACTCTCCTAGCAACAGCCTCCAGGAAACAATACAGAATAAATGCTTCATAGAAAATAGAGACAAACTCCCTGGCAATAATCAATGGGAATCGGTAGGAAATCAGGTGGGAAAATTCTCCCCAATGTTTTAGATATGGTTTAGAAAAATAGCCATTGTGATTATATGCCTTGGCCATTGTGATTGTGTGCCTCAGAAAAGGTCACCCCACCCTGCTAAACTTCACTCAATTCTGTAACGCCAAGGCTTGTGCCCCCCTGCTTGCTGCCATGGAAACCCCCTGCTCACAGACTTTCCCTTTAAAAATCCTCTTCACCCAGAGCTCGGGGTCCTTCTTCTCTACTGCTGCGTCAGTGAGACTTGGGTCCCGAGTTTGATCGCTCTCATAATAAAGCTCTCTTGCTATTGCATCGAGTTGTCTCCTGGGTCCCGTGTACCTGGCATTACAATTGGCATTCACTATGAGTTAGTGAAGCATACAGGGTTTTAGGAAGGGAAGGAACTCCCAAGTTGTTACTGATGATGAAATAAAAAACTACCAATTAATCAAAGCCTGGATGTTTGGTACTTTGGTGTCTATTGATATAGTACATCATGACCAAAATCAACTTGAGGAGGAAAGGGCTTGTTTGGCTTACACATTCTAATCTGTCTATCACTGAGAGAAGTCAAAGCAGAATTCAATCAGGAACAGAACCATGGAAGAAAGTTGCTTACTGACTTGCTCCCTATTGCTTGCTCAGCCTGATTTCTTATACAACTCAGAACTACCCCCTCAGGGCAGACACACCCCATAGGATGCTAGGCCCTCCTACATCAATCATTAGTCAAGAAAATGCCCCACAGACAAGCTAACAGAACAGTCTGATGTGGGCAATTCCTTGGCTGAGATTTCTTCTTCCCAGTGATTCTAATGTATGACAGTTTGATAAAAGCTAACCAGCAAACTGGGTTACTAAAGATTGTCTTTGCTTCATCTTCTTCCTCTGCAGCAGGTGAGAGGGAACTTCGTTCGCCTGCAGGCCTGCATCTCAGAGCTTGGCATGCTGCAGGTAGAAGGCTGTCACAGACCACATCCCACCTTACTGCCACTGGCGGTAGCAGACGGGCTCCAGCAGTTCAAACAGTACAGCAGACACATGGCCACCAGTGCTGCTCAGCCCTGCACTTCCCTGGAGGTAAGAGACTGCCTTTTAGGACACGAAGCCATTTCCCACTTCCATCTGCATGGGTGTTTCATTATTTATTATCCTTATGTTGTTCTGTTTCATGTACATTGAATGTAATTTTCGAAGCTAGGCAATCAGCCACCTGCAGATAGAAGACATTATTCCTTTTCCATAACCTTTTTCTTTCCTCCTCAGTACATTGTTTGTTTGCTTGTTTGTTTGTTTTCCTTTTTTTGCTGTGTGTGTGTGTGTGTGTGTGTGTGTGTGTGTGTGTGTGTTTGGATACTCAGGATCTGGCATTACATGCAGTTATAACTTTCCCAACCAGGTTCTGGGAACTGAATTTCAATCCTCTGAGGGAACATTAAGTGTCTTTGCATTTTTTAATTTTTATTTTATTTTCAGTTATGTGTGTGACTTGCAGGGATATATGGACGTGTGTATAGGTTCCCACAGAGACGGGGCATCGGAGCCCCTGGAGCTGCAGTTACAAGCAGTAATGGGCTGCCTACTGTGTGTGCTGGGAACCAAACTGAGGTTCTCAGGAGCACAGTAGGTGCTCTTAACCACATCTCTCCTGCTCCAACACGTGCTCTTAACTGTGGCCATGTCTCCAGTCTCACCTACTCAGTTCTTAATGTGCAGCAGGGCATCAAGAGAAACTGGACAACGGGGACCAGAGTGAACCTTAAGGAAAAACTGAAATGAAAATGAAATCTGAATACAACCTCCTCCAGAAATTTAGAATTTTCAAGGTGAACATTAATAAATTGGTTCTGTTTTAAGTCTGTCTTGGTACCCTTAAAGCCAGACAGGATGGTTCCCACCTGAACTCTCAGCATAAGAGGCTGAGGCAAGACTAAACCAGTCAGGGCTACAATGTTAGCTCCAGACCAGGTGAGGTTACAGAGTCAAACCTTATCTCAAAAAAGAACCCCAAACAGGAAGGCTGAGGCAGGCAGATCTCTGAATTCAAGGCCAGCCTGCTCTACGAAGAGAGTCCAGGACAGCCAAGGGTATACAGAGAAATCATGTCTCAAAACAAACAAACAAATAAAACAAAAACCCAAACAACAATAAAAAGTAATTGTCTTTAATCAATTTTTGACTCAAATTGACTAAATTTTCTTGGGGTAAGCAAATGTCAAAACTGGTGCCATTCTGGTGCCAGGTTGAGACTATCTGAAAAACATAAATAAATTATGGGTGAGTGTGAGTTGAAATAATCCCAGTGTTAGTGATCTCTGGCTGCAAACAGATGAGTTGAAAAATAATTGTGTGGAACTTCCCACTTCCAGTTTCGCATCTAAGGCAGGTGGAAGTTGCCACTTTGTCCTAACAATCATTAAAATGCTTAGCTAGTCAACAATTCCATTTAGATGCTTAGAAGAAGCAAGGTCACACGATCTCATCCTGGTTGGCCTGGAAACTCACAGTGTAGACAAGGCTGTGCTCCAATTTTCAGAGCTCCTCCTACCTCTGCCTTTCAAGTGTTGGGATTATAAATTGTCTAACACCACACCTGGCACCTGACTGTAGAATTTGAGAAAACAAGGATTAATATGCTAAGATAGAGCAGGAAACAGAGACACATCCCTGCAATCCCAGTACTCAGAGACTTAGGCAGGAAGATTGCTGCAAGTTCAAGGCCAGCCAGGGCTACATAGCTAGTACCATCAGGCCAGCAAGGAGCTGAGCTGAGCTACCATGGATGATACAAACAGAAGCAGCTTGAGTCCTGGCAGGACAAACATTTTGAGCTAAAATGATTAGCAGTAGCTCAAGCATGATCACATCAGAGCCTCAGAGTTTAACCCAAACTGAGACTCCCAGCACTGGGGGTTAAGTATCTCCATGAGTTCAAGGCCAGTCTCACCTACATAATGAGTTACAGGCCATCCAGAGCTAAACAGTAAGATTCTATCTCTAAAACAAACAAACAAATAAATCAGAAACCCAACCTTGTGCAATCAGAGTGTGTAATAAATGAAGCTTGGGAAATTCAATCATACATACATACACATGAGCACTAATGGGTGGAAACTGCCCCAAATCTCTTCCATGCGGAGGACTGGAAATGAGGAGGTGCTGACATCTACTGGCCACTGCGCAAAAACTCAACCCAAGAGCTAATTGGTTTGCATGCTACCATCCATTAGGACTCTGGGTATGCACAGGGGTGGTTTTACAAGTTTGTCCTGGAGATTCCGCCCTCAAATCCCCTCTCAGTTTGCTGCAAGTGACATCACAGGGAGAAGAGGAATCCAAAACCCATCCTCTCAAGGAAGAAAATCCTAACTAGGTTATATAATACATGATATGTTATACATTACATAATACACATGGAGTCATTGAGCTTAGAGCTTTGCAGCGCTGGGCATGTATGCTAGCACCCAGCTGTGTCACCAGCCCCACTTTGTCTTTTTTTTAGATCTTCAGGTTGTATAAATATCTCTCATGGTTTGCTTTGTTTTTTATGTCACCTGATTAGGTTTCGTGATTAGTCTGTATTTCTGCACTCATCCTATGGTGTGCTCCCAGTCATTCTTCCTACACATGACCCACACAATTTCCTTCTTATCCTACCTGGTTTCCTCTCTCTCCTTCCCATTCCTTATCCCTTTACCTCTTAATTACAATTTTCTGTGGCTTTTGTGCACGCTGTTGATCCCAGTAATACCCTAAATGTCATCCTTCCATCTTTTTTCTCAGTTGCGCCAACACTGATCCCTATTCTTATTCAGCCTGTTTCCTAGCCTTAGTGACTAATAGCTTAGTACACACTGTACTATCCTTTTTCTTTTGTATCCCAGTAGTTATTGAAGTTAAGTGCATGGCAGTTTTAAAATACTGGTATTTGCGGGGTGTAATGTCTTCTGCAGTTAATAGTCTACTCTTGGACAGGAGTTGTGGATAGAGCCCACAACCTGGCACATGGACTTGGGGTTTCTCTACTGAGTTGGACCAATCATATTTCACTGGGAAAGAATGACACCTCAGCCCTACTAGTTCTAGTAGAAAATTTCAAATACTTCAACTGGAAAACTAGAACTGAATTTAAAACAATCTAACCAATGAAATAACCCTAAACGCACAAGTAACAGTGAAGACATATAAGAGACATGGAGAAATGAAGGCACTGTGACCCCGCTGAAAAATGTCAGTTCCCCAGTGATGGATTCAATGAAAGTGAATCAGATGAAATCCCACACAAAAATTAAAAGAATAATGATAAGAGTGTCTAATAAATCAAAGAAGACATAAACACACTCCTAAATGAAATCAAGGATCATGCAAGTAAGCACTATACCACAGAGATGGTCCACACCAATGCTCACTGTAGCATTATTCTCAGTAGCTAAGTTATAGAGCCAGTCTAGATGTCTCTCAATAGAAGTATGGATGAAAACATGATATGTGTGCACAATGGAATTTCGTTCAACTCTGAAGAAGAATGCGATTACCTCATTTTCAGGAAAATGGATGTAGCTGATTAAGTGAATTAAGTCAGATTTAGGAGGACAAAAGTCACATTTTTTTCATTTGTAGGCCTTAGATAAAATCTTATGCATACATGGCATAAGGCAATAAAGTAGAAACAAGACTGTCTAGTAAAATGAAGAGGACTATCAGGAGTGGAGGTGGGTGGAAAAAATGAGGGTTATAGTCAACTTCTCCAAAATCATTCAAGATGAAAAGAGGGTAGAATAAAATATTTAGTTTTAACAGAAAAAAAAATTTATCAAGCTACAATTTGTGGAATTGTATTTGTGGGGGAGGAAAATAATATGTGTTAGAAATCTGTGTCTACAGTCAGGTGGTGGCAGTACACCCCTTCAATCCCAGCCCTCAGGAGGCAGAGGCAGGCAGAGCTCTGAGTTTAAGGGTAGCCTGGTCTACAAAGTGAGTTCCAGGACAGCCAGAGCTGCACAGAGAAACCCTGTCTCAAAAATCCAAAAGAGAAAGATGTGTCTATATCTGAAAAACAAAGAGAATCAAAAAAGAAATAAGTGAAGATAAATGAAGACATTTTTCTGGGTCTTAATTCATAAAACAGGTGACATTTTTGTTCAAAACAATAGCAACAACTTGTTGGTTTTGGATACACATGTGTTTATAAATAAGTGAAATGAACAGCATCAGTGATACAAAGGAGGGTAGAAAAATTAAGATTGTTGTTGCATGTTTGAGAGGCCTAGCCCATGCTGGCCTCAGACTTGCTATGTAGCTGAGGACGGTCTTGAACTGCTGGTTCTTCTGCCTCCATCTCCCCAGAGCTGGGACTGTAGACATGTGACACAATGCCTGGCTCAATAAACTACATGTAGCATAGCACAGTGTTACTTGAAAGTAGACGTAGATTGGTCATGAATATATATTGCAAGGTCTGGGACAATCACTCTGAAAAGTCAAAATAAATAAATAAATAAATAAATAGTATAAGCCATGTTCTAAAAATAGGAAAGAAAATAAAATTATAGGAGCTGCTTAACTAAAATCATAAGAAGCATGGCAGTATGGCTCAAGGTAGAGTGTTTTCCAAGCATGTAAAAACCCTGGGTCTGATCCCCAGCAGAGCAAAAATAGAAAGGGAAAAGAGAGAAGCTAGAGCTTTATCAATTTTATTGATTGCTTCAAAATGTCAGTCTTATAATTTCAACTTTATTGATTTCTGCTCTATCTTCATGTTTTTTTTCTTCTGCTTACTTGGACTTTATTTTCTCATCTATTTTTAGTTTCCTAAAGTGAAAGCTTAGGGCATCGAATATACATTTTTTCTAATATACGTATTCAGTGCTATTTTCTTCTATGCACTGTTTTTTACCTTATCATACAAATTTCAAGAAGTTGTGTTTTTATTTTTTGTTAGTTCAAAATATTTGTAAACTTTTTTATATATTTTTACTTTTTGTTTCATGGTGTGTGTGTGTGTGTGTGTGTGTGTGTGTGTGTGTGTGTGTATTGTTTGACTTTTTCAGCTATCTTTGTTTGTTTTTGTTTTGTTTTGTTTTTTGAGATAGGGTCTCTCTTCATAGCCCATGAATTCAGAGATCCACCTGCTTCTACTTCTAGAGTGTTGGGGTTAAAGATGTGTACCACAACCTTTCTGGCCTTTTCAGACATCTTTGGACCTGGTTTCTAGTTTAATTTAACTGTGGTCTAGGAGCAGACAATATATGATTTTTATTCTTTGAAATTGCTAGGAACTCCTTTATGGCCCATAGTTCAGCCAACCTTTGTGCGTATTCCATTTGAGCACTAGAATACTATAAATTTGTCTATTTTTGGATGACTAATTCTATAAACGGTGATTATATCTTTTGATTTGACTAATGTGTTCGGTTGTGCCTCAAAGATTCTTCTGCCTGTTGAATCTGTCATTTCTGATGGAGAATGCTGAGGTTTCTAGTATACACAGAGGAGCCATCTGTTTCTCTTTGCTGTTCTTTCAGGGAACTGTGCCTGGTTCACAACCCTTTTTAACTCCAGTTTCAGGGCATTCAGCACCCTCTCTGGCCTTTCTGAGCACTAATCATGCATGCAGTGTACTTACTTACATGCAGGCAAAACATCCATATACATAAAATAAATTTGGGTCGGGGGGTTGATACAGGGTCTCACTGTATAGCCCTGTCATTCCTGACACTCACTACATAGACAAGGCTGTCCTGAAACTCACAGGGATCTATCTGTCTCTGCCTCCGGAGTGATGAGATTAAAGGTTTGCACAACACTTTAAAAATCTTTTAAATATTTAAGAAAAGCCAAATTGTTAAAAAACAAACAACAAAAATAAAAAAGAATTGTTATGTCATCTGGAATAACTGATTTCTTTATCCTTGTGTAATATGATAATTCTTAGTCTCTGATGACTCTGTGTGTCTTGATATTTCTTTGCCTGAAATTAACGCAGCTCCTCCTGCTTTGACTGCTGTGTTTTTCTCCACACACTGTCTTTTCATCTCTATCTGTCTTTATATTTAATGTGGGATTATTTTTAACGTTATGTTATTCGCTTGTTCTATTTCCTATTGGTGTCTGTGGTTACACGCTCGCGTGCCATGGTGCACGTATGGAGGTGAGAAGACCGCTTTCAGAAGTTGCTCTCTTTCTGCTGTGGGCTTCAGGGTCCAGCTCAAGTTCTCAAGCCTGAGCGAGCGTCAAGTGCTTTGATTGGCTGAGCCAGTTCTCGTGTGGGTTTCTCGTAGACAAAACATAACCACGTCTTTCTTTTGGTCCAGTCTCTATTTTTTTCACAGTAGTATTTCTAGGCCACTGACATTCAAAGTAATTACTGACACTGTTGGACTGACTTACACTGTCACTATCTCGTACATGTCACACATGGCCTTTTCCTGTCTCACTTTTCTCCTCTCTCTTTTCCCTTTCTATTTTTGCTCTGCTGGGGATCAGACCCAGGGTTTTTTGCATGCTTGGAAAACACTCTACCTTGAGCCATACTGCCATGCTTCTTATGATTTTAGTTAAAATTTATGTCACATTTTGCAAGAAACTGTGTTAGTTGCTTTTCTCATTGCTGCCATCAAATACCAGACAAGACACAACCTTAGAGAGGAAGGGTCGTGGGCTCTGGGGTGGCAGGGGGATCATGAGGAGGACAGAGGAAGGAGGGAGAGAGGAGCCGGTCGACATGGGTGAACGTGAACTAGAAGCACGGGTCAGGAGGAGCTTGCTCTGAGGGTAGGCCTGATGGAGAGAAGCAGCCCAGATGGAAACATGTGCAAATACTCACGGGGGCTTTGGATGGGAAGCAGACGAGATAGATGAAAGGGTTTGTTGTGGCTTACAGTTCAAAGGGACATGGCTCATGATGGAGGGAAAGCATGGTGGCAGAGGAACGGGGTGAGGAGCCATACTGCATCCACAGTCAGGAAGCAGGGTTGATTATCTGCCCAGCTCCAGTGCTTTAAGGATTAAATTAAAGCTAACAGGTCTCTGACTCTTTTATTTATGAAATAAAGGTTTAAGGAACAACTGTTGCTGTATTAATAACCAGCAATAATTACATTAATAGAATAATTGATCCCATTTTCATATGAATTAATAATCATGGAAATCAGTATTAAATATTACTAATCATTCATACTTTTCAACCTTGGGAACGACACAGTGTTCTTTTTAAGAATTTTTATTTTTCATTTTTGAGACTTTCGTATATGTATTCAGTGTGTTTTGATCCAATCCACCCACATTTTCTCCCGTCCAGGTCCTCCCCAATCCCCACTGCCGCTTTCCTCTCCCAGCTCCATGTGCTCTTTTTGTTAAAACGCAAAATTCATTTAGTGCTGCTTGTCTAGCAAAGGCTGTGGCCTTGGCTGTATGGAGAGAGGCTCACTGTGAGAGCACTCACTGGTGGTTCTTCCCAGTCCTGAGCTCAGTGCCCAGCGGCCGCCTGGCGGCTCATCACAGATGAGATCTGGCACCCTCTTCCGGCCTGCAGGCACACATGCAGGCAGAGCACTGTATACATAATAAATCAATCAAAGGATATGGGGCCATCTGCTGGAGCATGGCCATCCTTTTGGGAGCCATATCTCAGAAAAACAAACAAATTACACCTGACTCTCCCTCTCCTAGCAGCCATCAAATGTAAAAAGCTAGAGGTGAGGCTCCATGATCCCCTCTCCTACCCATGCAGGGGCTTTGGTGGCTTGATCTTGTGCAGGTTTGTGCATGCAGTCACAGCCCATGAAACACAATGTCTCTCTGTAGATGAACGGATAATACATCATGGTCCATCCAGACGATGGGATACTAGTCAGTACCTAAACTAAGCTAAGTAAGCTACCGAGTACAAAAGAACATGGAAAAACCTTAAGTGAATGTTACTAAATAAAAGAATCCAGGATTTTTAAAAAACTATATCATTTGTGATTCTAAATACCCTGGAAAAGGTAAAATTATGGAGACAGTAGAAAAGGTGACTGATGAGCTAGGAATATAGCTCAGTAATAGAGTATGTGCCTAGCAAAGACAAGGCCCTGGGTTCAATCCTCAGTACTGAAATAAAAAAAAAAAAAAAGTGAAGTGAGAGGGATGAGCAAATAAGCACAGAGGATTTTTAAGGAAATGAAGACACCCTGTATGAAAATATGCTAATAGGAAAATGTCATTGTATATTTGTACAAATTTATAGAACATACCATACTCACAGCTTGTCCAAACATAGACTATGGTTTGGGGGTATTGTCAATTTACATGAATCACTTGCAATATATGTACTAATCTGGCAGAGGAAATCAATAAGGGAGAAGCTAAGTATGTGTGAGGGCAGGGGAAGCACCATTGTGCCCTTCTTCTCAAAGTCATTGGGAACCTAAAACCATTCTACAATGCTAAAGTATTCCGAAATAATAGTAGCCACGGTACTTGCATCTGAATTTCTCTTCGATAATTAAAAACATCTACATAGAAAATAATTGCATATACAACCATCTTTCAGAGGGTCAAAATCCAAGGCAAAACTGATAATTAAAAACATTCATTTTGCTGGGCATGGTGGCACACGCCTTTAATCCCAGGGCTCAGGAAGCAGAAGCAGGTGGATCTGTAAGTTCAAAACCAGCCCGGTCTACTAAACAAGTCCAGGACAGCTAGGGCTCTGTTATACAGAGAATCCCTGTCAAAAAAGAAAATCATTTTGATGGCATAAAAGATTCAGTTATACACAAATACCTTAATATTTCTTTAGGTCCAACATACTGGTCAAGAGTTAAATACATTTAGAGTCAAAAGAAATCAGCTCTCGGACCCATGCTGAGAAAACAGAGACTCCTTCTGAGAATGCCACACATGGACGCACTGTGGGGAGAAAAGCAATGGGCTCTCTAAGGTGCAGTGAGGGGAACTCATGTACCTTGTTCCTCTGTTTTCCTGTGAAAGCAAAAATATTTTGAGCAGAGGAAATGCTGCCAGTGTTTTACATTTTTTTAAGTATAAATAAGAAAAAGACTAAAAAACTTGTATGGCTTCTCACTGGTCACTGTCTAAGAACTGCCTGGAATTACTGGAAAGGACTTGTGATGCTTATCTGTCCCACCAGAATCTGCCACATGAAATGTGAGTTGTATCTCTCTTAACCTTTTGGCTAAGATCAAGTGAAATTTTGTTTGTAAGTTATATTTAAATCTCTCTCTTTGTACTAAATACAATAGGTGCTACCACAGACTCAGAAATTTGTCTTCTAGAACACATTGCATGTTTCTCACTCTGGATATCAAGAAGAGCAGACATATTGATTATTTTCATGGATTGCATTTTAGATTACTGTCCTGACTTCTCAGCCTGGAAAAGAAGTGATTAAACAACTAGAGGAAGGATTGAAAGATATAAACCTACTTAGCGTCAGAAGGCTGCAGGTGGTTGAGGTTACAAAAGGCATCCAAGAGCGTGTAGATTCACCATCTCCTTCTGAAGAACCCAGCAATGATGGTAAGAATCCTGCCTTTTGCTGTTTTTTTCTGAGACAAGGTATCTCTGTGTAGCAAGAGCCCTGGCTATCCTGGACTCATTTTGTAGACAAGGCTGGCCTCAAACTCACAGTGATCTTCATTAGGGTTTTTCCGTGTGTTGTTGTTGTTTTGTGTGTTATTTATTAGTAGTATGTGTGTTGCACATGTGTGTGTAAGCAGGCATGTACATGTGGAAGGTTGGGGACAACTTTTGGGAGTTGGTTTTAGCTTCCCACCTTGTTTCAGAGTAGGAGTCTCTGGTCTCTGCTGTTCTGAGTACTCCAGGATAGCTGCAGTGCACATTTACAGACAGTCTCCTGTCTCTGCCTCGTTAGGCTGTGTGCAAGTGCTTTTACCCACTGAGCTACTTAAATGCAGAAATATCTTTTTATTTTTTCTTCTTGCTGTCCTGTTTGCTGCAGTACTGTAGATCAAAGTCAGTACCTTGAACCAAAGCAAGCACTCTATCACTGATCTAAAGTTCTAGCTCCTTAGGAGGAAATCTTGGAGGCTGGAAAGATGGCTCAGTTAAGAGCATTTTTGTGTGTGTCATTGTGAATGAATGGCCCCATAGGCTCATATACTTACAAGCTTAGTCCCCAGTTGGTGAACTGCTTGGAAAGGATTAGGAACTGTGGCCTCATTAGAAGGGGTGTGTCACTGGGAGTGGGCTTTGAGGTTTCAAAAGCCAATGCCAGACCTGGTCTCTACTCTCTCTTCCTCCCTCTCCCTTCCTTCTCCTTCTCCCTCTTCCTCCCCCTTCTTTTCCCTCCCCTTCTCCCTCTCCCGCCCCTTCTCCTTCCCCCTCCCCTTTCCATCTCCTTCTCCCTCCTCCCCATCTCTCTCTCTCATCCTGTTGCCTGTGGATCAGGGTATCAAGCTCCAGGTATGTTCCAATGCCATGCCTGTCTGCTTCCTTTCTTAATGGTCATGGACTAACCCCCTCAAACTGTAGACAGGTCCCCAATTTAATGCTTTCTTTTATAAGAGTTACCTTGGTCATGGTGTCTCTTCACAGCAATAGAACAGTGACTAAGAAAATACTCATTCCAGAGGTTTCATTCCTATCACCCACTTAGGGCAGTTTACAACCACCTTTAAATAGAACTCCAGAGCATACAAAGCCCTCTTCTTCCTTCCCTGGCACCCAAATACATATGCCATACATATGGTGTTCACACAGTCACATACACATAAATAAAAATATTGTTTTCAAAAAAACAGAAAGGTTCTCAACAGAGAGACTCTTGGCTTGGTTTGGTTTTTGAAACAGGGTCTAGCAATGCAGTTCTGGCTAGAACAATGAAGTCCTGCTTCAGCCTCTTGAGTGCTAGGATTACAAGTGTATACTGCCATGCCAGCTTTACTTTGTTTATTTTGTTCTGAGGCAGAGTCTTGCTTTGCAAAGCCAAGGTGACATATAGGCTAAACTCTCCTGGAAAATCAGATTCTCCCATTTCAACCTCATAAATGCTGAGATTACAGGTGTGTGCCACCACACCCAGCTGACTTTTTTAATTAATTTGACAAGCTAATCCTATGAAAAGTGTGTGTGACGCACATGCTCACATGCATGCACACATTTAGTTAAGGCTCATGTTAAGCTAACGATGTGAAGATGATTCATAAAGTTGGTAAATAAGGCAATGGTCATACAGCTCACTCCACTCGCAGGTCCTTTGCTGCACATGCATCAGGCTCTGGATTTAACACCCAGCTCTACTGAAAATAATAGATAGTATCATACTGACACAGAAATAGACAATTTGTCCCATCTAGAACAGATTATTGATCCCAGAAGCAGAAAGTCACATGAAAACTTGATATGTGGCATGGCTGCCACAAAAAAAACAATGAAAAAAGATGAATGTACTTACAAAGTCATACTAGAACTATCAGTATTCCTTATAGGAACAAGGGAAGTTGGATCTCTACCTTATGAAATATATAACTTTTTAAATGGATTCAAAACCTAAACATGAAAGATAAAAACTTTTAGAAGAAAATACATAAGAAAAAAATCTATGACTGTAAGTGAGAAAAAGAATTTCCTAAATGAGACACAAAGTCTGCTAACTAAAGAAGACTGAATAATTGTCACTATATTAAAAATCAGAATTTCTGTTTATCAGCAGACACCATGAAAAAAGGAGTCAGAAAAATTAGACTATAGCCCTAACTCATATAACCAGTAAAGAATTACTGTCTGGAATACGAAATCTGAGCCATCATCATAAAGTGAATGAGCCACAACTATGCAGAACAATGTGAATGAATATTTGATATTGAGGTGGGGAGAGCAAGTAGCTAAAGGCATATAGAAGACTGTGCTTCTTTACAAAGCTTAAAGAAACTAAAACAATAAAATGTTGCTTAATGTAGTAAAACTACTTTTTAGAAGGAAAAGAATGATAAGAAAGTTCAATTCAGTTCTGACCTGAGAATCAGAGAACAGCACACAGGCATATCAGTGCTATTAATGATATTCTTTTTTCAATATTTTTTATTTTTAAGTAATTTTATACATTCACTTGTATCCCAGCTGTAGCCCTCTCCCTCTTTCCCTCCCAATTATTAATGATATTCTACATCTCAAGTTCAACAAAAGAATTCATGCCTGTCGTCTGCTTATTGTTGAGCTTTTGGAACTTCCATGAGCATACATAGTATGTCTTCATTTGCATTTAATAAATTTTTTATAATAGCCTTCTAAAGAATGGGCAAGTAATAAATATGCCAAAAGTAAAAAGGCCACAGTGATCAATATACTTTGGCATCTAGACGGCCTCTGTCTGGGTTGACAACCATCTGCACTGATTGGGTATATAAGTCTTGAAGCAGTTACAAATCAACTTAATGAGGCTGTCAACGAGCCTGCATTTCTCAGCCATGTATACAAGGATATCAGGTTCCTTTGCTAAGTGCTCATAAACCATCTGTTTAAAATTTCCTCCTGAGTTTACCAGAGATCCATGTCAAGCTCCCTTGGAAATATATCCTATCCATACATGGTCTCAGGAAACACCAAATGTTAACAATCCAAACAAAGAAGACAGAGATTCAGTGCTTCTTAGAAGATTCCAGAAAGAATTAGGAGTAAGGGATTGAGGCATCGGCTCTGTACTCCAACCAGTTGTCAGAGGTGGGTGTCTTGGGAAACAAACCAGAATGAGCAGCTGCTCATCGAGCTAGTCTCCAATAACTGTGTTAAAGTCATTTTCCTGTGACATTAGGACTAAATTAGAAGCTCTGCTGTGTTTGCTACCTAAAGATTTTTAACACAGACAGACATTTGTTTCATTGAAAGAAACCATGGTCTGAGAGAAATAGCAACCTCCCTTTTGTAGTTAAATGAAGTAATAGGAATCTAGCAGAATGTCGGAAGTTACTTGAAAACTGAGATGTTAAATATTTGTCCTTGCCGGTTTGAGGAATAATCTACACACCACAAGTTACATCCGCTCAACATGGACAACTCAGTGAGTTTCCATAGTAGCATACACCTACAAAGCATCACCCCAGTCAAGATATGCAACACTGTCATCGTGTTCCACGGCCCCTCTTGACTCACTATCCTCAAGCCCACCCTCCAGCCTCTGCTTCCCACCTGTAGATTAGGTTGCATTAACATAAATACAACCATGCAATACATACTTTTGTATGTGGCCTTTTTTCATTTAGATATTGAAATTTGTCCATGTTGTTTATATCAATTTCATTTTACTGCTAAGTAGTAATATTTTACATAAATGTTGTATTCTGTTTAAACTATTCACCTGTCAATGGATACTTTGGTTTCCAACTTTTGGCTACGAATACACTGGTATAAAGATCCACGGACAGATCTTGTGCATGTATGTTTCCATTTCTCCTGGGTCCTTAACATTCATCTTTTCTCACACTTTCAGCCCATCTGTGAATTTATATTAAAGTAAATCTGAGTCAGGCATGGTGGCACACACACCTTTAATCCCAGCACTGCAGAGGCAGAGCATGTGGATCTCTGAGTTTGAGGCCAGCCTGCTCTACAGAGTGAGCTCCAGGACAGCCAGGCATACAGAGAAAAACTCTATCTCAGTAAAACAAACAAACAAATGAATAAAATATATAATTAAAAATAAATGAAGTATATTTGTTGTATACACCGTTAACTTTTTATTTGTCCTGATAACTTCTAAGTTTTACTTGAAATGTATACTCCTTAAGTATTGATATGGTTGGTTTTAGTTCTACCATTTTTTTAGATCTGTTTTGGTTGGGGGTTTTTTTTCTCCTGCTTTCCTGTCTTTGAAGGTTGTTCAAATATCTTTAAAATATTGAGCTAGAGAGATGGTCAGCAGCTAAGAGCTCTTGCTCTCTTCCGAAGGACCCGGCCTCAGTTTCTTTGACCACATCAAGTGACTTACATCCACCTGTAACTCCATCTCCAAGGGATGTAACATCCTCTGTAGCCTCCAAAGTCACCGGAATACATGTAGCAGACATACAGACACACAGACAGACACATATACACAGAAATCATTTCTTTAATTTAGCTGGTGAGGTGGTGTATGCCTTTAATCCCAGCACTCAGGAGGTAAAGGGAGGTGAATCTCTGAGAATTCGAGTCGGTCTAGTTTACATAGTGGATTCCAGGCCAGCCAGGGTCTGTCCCCAAAAAACAAACAAACAAACAAACAGAAAAGGCATTTTAATGCTATTTTATCAATTGTAATTTACTATTCATCTTCGTATTATTTTTAGTGGCTTCTCTTAGGGGGTTGTATTACATATCTTTTGTCTCTTCACAGTCTAATTAGAGTTCACATAGTGCCACAAGGCTTAAAATTTAATTTTACACTTTTTACAGCCTACTTAAAATTAATATAACACCATTTCATGTAAAATGCAGAAACTTCACAATTACATAGGTCCATTTATCTCATCTCAAACATATATTCTATCTTTTTGTTTGTTTGTTTTTGAAACAAGGTCTTATAG